CATTTATTTATCCTCTACATTTCAAAAAAAACAAATTGCTATGATTAACAGTCCTAATATGTATTTGCACATCACTTTATATCTAGCTATATAGAGAAATCTCCATGTTTGTCAGCAGCTAAGGTAGTAGTTTGGCCTTCTGTTAGAAGAATTATGATCTTTGTGGGAATTACTATCTGTAATAATCTGATAAAAAGAAACATGTAGCTCCTGGAAGAATCACGTCCTTCCCTTGAACTATGAGGAATATTTAGGAACTCAAAAATACCTTTATGAAATTCTCTCTCTACCATTTCTAGTATCCATCTCCCTGATAAGCAGTAATGAGCCATGGATTTTATCTAGAAAATCTCTCTATAGCTTTAATTATAATTCTAGGCATCTGGAAGACTAGGCAAGTCAGACAAAAGGATTTTCTTTTCCATTGGACAGAGTTGGTTGCCTTAGGCTTTGCTGCCTCTGACATGTTTCCTGTGAAGTTCAGCATGGCTTAGATGAAAAGGCAAATAAAGCCCACAATTATAATGATGGAAAGCCTCTGGCTTAGTGCAGAGATGAGCCTTCTGGAAATCTGCTTCAGATAATAATTCATCTGAATCTTCAGATTGCAGATTTAGAGGTGGAGGGTGGGGGGAGCTTTTTAAATTCAAATCTTAGCAGTTCCTTTTTTCTTTAAAGCCAGCCTAATAGAATTTGGATGCACACTATCTCTTTACACTGTAATCTGCATAGAACAAAAAAGGAGAGGACCCCCCTGAGAAGTGACAAGTCAAGCTGGCCACCTTCTATCCCTCCCTTCCACTGGGTAGATTTACAGCTTCTTCAAGGCAGGAAGTGCACTGGTAGGGAGGGCTGCTTTCTCTTCATCGTTTTGTGTGAATGCTGAATACACAGACTGTGATTTTTCAGTGGGAGAACATAGAAGTCCTTACCCCGGTAGAAAATTACCAGGGGTTTTGCTGCAGAAGTTAAACATCCAAAGGAAGCTACACCTCTCTCACTCAACGCACACTCCACAGTCAGTGTGGCTGCCACCGCATGGAGACCTTGAAAACCTCAGGGCTCTGGTTACAGAGTGAACAAGGTGGCCCCTGGCCCCAGCTGCCACCCAGCTTCCTTCAGGGCTCCTGCCCAGCTCCCACCGCAGAGGGAGCTGTCAGTGTGTTGATTCATGTGCATTTGCTTCTTTCACACAAGAGAGCTTACTTTATGAAGTCATACCCATTTCAGCAGGCAAATGAGCTGTTATATGAAAAAACCCAACCCAAACCCATGTTTGTGATTACAGCCGGTGAGCTGCTGCTGTCTTTCAGATAATAAGTTCATTTGTTGTTGTTTGACGTGGCAGAAGAAACTTGCAGGCTCTGATATGTGATCTCAAAACCACCTTTGCCCTTGGAGGTAGCCATGCTCTGCATGAAGGCTGTAGCCTTTCCAAAGAGTGCGGGGCAAATGACATGTAGAACAGTGAGTGTTGGTACACTTTGTGCTGCCACAGTGGATTAAGAGCTGTTTTTTTCTAGGAAAAGCACCTTCTCCAGATCCAGATCTTCATTAATCCCCAAACATTCCTTTCCCCCTTGCCACCATACACATGCCCACAAGAGGTTGGACATGGAGCCTGCAGGCAGAGACCAACAGTCGTGGTTTGGGCATTCAGGGTGGCTGCCCTTCAGCAGCTGTGCAGCACAGTACCAGAAATGCAGTATTTTATTTCTAATTCACAGCTGCAAAGAAGGTTACACAGGGATGGGAGGTCAGAATGAGATGCACAAATTGGGTTTAGGTAATCTTGCAGGAAAAAAAAGCAACGATTTCTCAAGTTTCAATGCCCACATGCCCTAGCACACACCACTATTCCTAAGTCATTCCCCATTTCCATGTGATAAAAGAAAATTACATTTTTTAAAGGAGATTTCACATAAAACAGCTCAACACACTTTTTTGGGTAAAGTTTTTTAAAAAACAGTATAGTGGGGAGGGAGCAATCCCAAAAAGCTTGGCGGGCTAACAGAGTTTTAGGGCGCTGTTAGATTCTGAGTTCATGCAGCAAATTAAAGGGAACTCCCTCAAGAAAACTGGACTGCCTATTTAAAAAAATAATCCTACAACCTTTTGCTTCAGCTAACATTATTCTGACGCTAAAGTGTCTACCTAGGGACAGCTGTTTCCTCTTCATGACTAAATAAATGAGTAAATTTATTCCATAGAACAAAACACAGGATTATTTCATTTGCCTTGCCTGATTTCTGTTTCTTCTTTTTTTGCTTTCTCTTTTTTTTCCCCCTTTTTTTATTCTTTGTTTAATTAGCTGAAGGTCACGGAGGGGCCTTTCCTAGCAATATTACATCTCTGAGTGTCTTTTGCCACTAAGAAATAGCAACAGCTTCTGGGAGTGCTTTTTTTCATGGAAGAGGCAGTAGAAATACTTACAGTTGTAACACACCTACCTTGAGCTCTTTAAAAAAACCAAAAAAACCATATAAACCCAGAAAAAACTATCATCAAAAAAATGGCCAGCTCAGCGCTTACACAGTTGTTAAATGTGAAATATTTTGGTTTTCCTCTGGTGAAGTAGGTTTGGTGGAGGCATCACATCGCAGCTTATTGATATGGCACATCTGAAATGGGAAAGTCATCCTGCTGTGCGTACCTGGCATGTGCTTGGTGCTGGATGGGGTGACAAAGGACACCGAAAAGGCCAAGGTACTCAATGCCCCCATCTTCCGGATGGAAGACCAGCCTTTAAGAACCACCAGCCTCTGAGACCAGGGGAAGATTTGGAGCAAGATGTACCTTGGTGCAGGAGGACCAGATTGGTGAATAAAAGTTCCACCTTTACTACCATAACCCCAAAACACTTTACCTGGGACTGCAGAATTCAGGTGGGTTGGTTTTCTGGAGTATTAACCAGATAAGAGATTTAAGAAGAGATCTGATTTTACTACCTTTCACTCCACTGCCTAGAACAAATTCCCTTGTAAGAATGAGGCTTTCTTTTTTTCCAGAACATTGAAATATTTTCAGCTTTATTACAGAGGAAATTTTTAGACTACTCAAATTCTCCCTGAATTTTTCAAGCAAAATGGCACTAAAAAATTAAAAATTATTATACTACTTTTAAGTTCTTTAAGCCTTAAAATATGATATTGCTCAGGCTATGAACTGCATGCAGATTTAATTTCACAGTGAAATCCTAATAAAAATTCTCCTTGGAGCTCACCTTTAAATACAATTATGTATGAAATTTTCCTTATCCAACCCAGAGTCAGAATTGCCAGCAGTAATGGGGCCAGCAGTATAACCACTGAACTGCACATGTGCACATACATAACACACACACTACACTGCACGTGCACTAACATGCTGGCAGGGCTGTTCCCACCAGCAGTTGGCTTACAGACAGAAGTGTGATTATTCTTACTTCTAGCCATGACCATTGCCATATACAGTAACTAAACTTAACTTATTGTCCAAATAAATACCCTTCTGGATCCTCCTCATCTTTTAATGCCAACTGTGCCTTCTGGAGATGAATTACCCATTTTAATTTTTAATGATACAAACTTTTTCCAAAGCCTTGCAGATGTAAATGACTGCTCTCTCAAAACTGCTGAATGCAAAACCTCATTTTTTTTAAGTAGTTAAAAAGCAAAACCAAACAAAAACAAAACCGAACAAAACCACAAACAACCTCCCAAACCCAAACAAAAAACAAAAACAAAAAAAACCCAAACCAAAACAAAACCAAAACATACCAAAAACCAGAACAAAGCCAGAGTACTACTCACTTTATTGCCTTAGTTTGCTACTTGGATATTACTTTTTCCTGCACTGTTTGTACCCACTAGGGTTCTTCCAGTCTATTTCATTTTCACATGGAAATTTCACCTGTATCTACAATACATTCTATCACCCATTCAACCTCCTTTCCCTACTTTATTTTTTCATGACCTTGCCTGCCTCTACTCTTCATGGGTGCTCTTCCAGAGCCTTACTAGACTTATTGTCACAGAACCCATCTTTCTCTTGGCTTGTTTGCTGGTCTCTGCCTGGAGGAGAGGCAGCTGGTTCCTCTCTGACCCAGTTCCTCTCCACCAAGGCTGCGAGATTTCTGGGCCTTCTGAGCCTGCACATCTACCCAGCAACTTGTTTTGTGCTGATCCCAGCCCAGCATATGGACCTGACACAACCTGGAACTGCCTCCATCAAAGGTGGATGCACTCTGAATCATAGGCGTAAGTTTTTGTAGAAAGTATGCAGAAAAAATCTCATTTGAAAGTCTTCATCTGAATAGAAAGTATAATTTTGAACACGCTTTAAAGATTTATTAAATTTGAAAGAAGACAGAAGTTGATAAATTCTTTAGAAACCAAATCATTACCGAGGCAAGGCATTTCCTTCTCCATCACTGTTTGCAGATGTTTTTCCACTTATTCTGCATGCGAAAAAGAGGAAACCTTATCCTTAGGTAGTTGAGTGTCCTGTACCCAGCTCTCACTAGGCTGAGAAACCATTTCTTCTCTTCGATCCTGCAGATCAAAAAGCCCCAAAACCTCACTAGTTAATGACTTTTTAAAAGCTTTTAAGGCAAGTTTTCACAAACATATAACTAAGACATTTGCTTTGACTCTTTAATAGTTTATGAAAGTGTTGTGGTTGAATACATCTCCTGCGATTTCCTTTGTTTTATTCCGTGGGCCGATTTCTGCCTCATAGGAAGACACAGTGTGCTAATGGTGGCCAGAGTGGCCTCAGGTGGCCACCCTATTGCAAACGCCATTACACCAGGGATGAACAAACATCCCGCCAGTAAAGCCTTTCACCAGCCTGGCCCCAAATTCTCTTTCATGGAGAAATCAACAACCAGTGCTCAAACTCCCGAGTCCTTCAGTATCCAGGGCACAACTGTGACCTGCCCAAGATCCTTCAGAAGATGTTTGAGCAAGCTCAGCCCACGCAGTTGCTGGTGGTAAGAGGTGCCCCATTTTTGTGTCTTGCTGTATTCCTGATGACAAGTAGTCTGGAGGAGCATTACATGGTGGTTGAAAGAGTCCTGGCACAAGTACGTCCTTCCAGAGCTGCATCAGTTTATGCACAGACAACTCTGCAGCAACACTGTCGTGCAGAAATGGAAAGTAAATGCTGCAGTGTTTCTATTAATTATTCAGCAACTTCTGTGTGATGAACAACAAAGGCAAAACAGGTGTAAAAGTAGCAAAGACCTCAGATGCCTTCCCTACACAGACCAGGGAGGGCAAAAGGTTGTGGTCCTCAGCATCAGCAGCCTGTGCATTATGTCCGGGAGATCCAGCCAGCACTCTTCGGCGCCTTGCATGTGTGAATATCCACCACTTCTAGGCAGTCCTGGCAGCGCACAGCACAACACCAGTGGAACTTGCACTCGCATTTGGTCATTCTGCTGACGCGGGACGTGTCGTAGCCTCTCCCACAGCACATCACCTCACAGCTGTCCATGCCACGGGAGGTTTGGTTACACACCCGACCAGCTGTCCCAAGGGACCCTACAGAGGGAACACAGTAAATGTCAGGAGGTGGATTTTAAGGAAGGACAGAAAGCATATGAAAATAGGTATAAGAGACATAATTCACAATTTATTTGATCCTTCAGCATCACGTTACCCAGGATTCAGCATCAAGACAGAGAAATGCCTATAATAAGGTAAAATTGCTCTCAATTGTCCCCTAGAATTCAGGTCTGGAGATGAGGAGTAAAGTGGACCAAATACTTCAAGGCTCTGCCTGATTCTCTTGATATCATCATGCTTTGCTTCATCTTTCCCTAGCACCTTCTTCCTCTCCAGAGAGCAGACACCCTCCTCGAGGCAGCTGTGCAGCCTCCTCCTGCTCCCTGTGCCCAGCCTCCCAGGGCTGTGTGAAACAGGGTGCCCAAGAGGAGCATCCCTGTGGTGCTCGGGATCTCATTGGCTTTGGTGAGGAGCTCTGGGTGGGCAAGGGAGGGCTGGGAAAGAGAAGACCACAAAATTTGGTGACTGCAAGGGGCCAAAGTAACTGTGCTGCCAGTGATTAAAGTCTTGCAGAAGTGACTGCAGAAGCACCACTCTGTCCACCCATGGTTCCCATGTCCACCAGTTCAGGGTGCAGCTGAAGAATGGCTGCTCTGTGTGCCTCTCATCTCTGTGGGGTAACACCAAGGGTTGTCCTCCTCTCTCATGACAGAGATTAGAAGAAACTAAATTATAGCCTGCTGTAGACAGAAGAAGGGGTAAGAAGCAAACCACACCTCATCATGTTCTTGAAACTCTCAGGAGTGGCTGAAATGCCTCTGCCCATCTCCACGTGCACAAAACGGCTCTGTAAGACATCTTAGCCTGAATAGTGACTGTACCATATAGGGGCTGCTACGTATCTAAAACAAACTGATCTTAAGGTACATTTTAGGATCAATACCACAGTTGTTGACAGATTATTACTATCAATCTGAAAATTCATGAAAATTCATTGCTTCACCTAATTTCTTATGTATTGTTATAAATCAAATTCAAGTATATTCATGAAATTAACATTCTTCTGAAATTTTCTGTAGCGCTAATTACACCTCCATTCTTTTCTTCTTGGCCAAAATGATATTTCCTAAATAATGGCTGGGATAATTAAATTAATTGGAAACATTTTACAAAGTGTATTCACAGGTGGACACCAAACATGAGCAATTTACCTTCTTAAAGAAGAAAAATATATGCAGACATTAATTCAAATTTGCATAAATTAGGATAGCAAGCCAATCAATTAATAAAACTTAAGCTGTAATTAATCTGCAATTATTAAAAATCTAAGGTGCATAAATTCTAATTTTCTTTATTTCCCCCTTATGGTGTACTTATGGTTGTATATACTGACACAACTGTCTCAAAGCAGTGCATAACATACAAGTCTTCACTGTCCCTCCATCCCCTGCTGCTCCCAGCACCAGGGAGACTTCATGTTATTTCAGGGCTGTCCCCAAGCCACTGATATAATGAGGGATCTCAGGGACTGGAGCACAGTCACCTCAGGCTGCGGGACTGATACATGATTCAGCCTCTCAGGCATAGGGGTGGAAATTTTGCTCTTTTTGCATCTAAGTCAGGACAGGCTTCAGCTGCTGTCCCGGAGAAGTGTTTCAGTCCCTAGAACACATCTCAGCCTTCTCTTCCATAGTCTAGATGCCTGTATTTATTTAAATATTTAAATATTCATTAGGTTGAAATATACACCTGGAAACCTTCAATATCAAAACGGCTGGTTCAGGTCTGCTGCAGGCAGAACAGGAGGGTGTCGTGTGGCCACCTGCCCCCAGAATCAGCAGGTACCCACAGCTGCCCCAGTTGCCTACCCCAGGAGCCACTCACCGGCTGCTGCCAAAGGCTGAGGCACCGGCCCTGGCTCAGGGGTCCGGAGCCACAAAGGTGCTGCTGAGCTGCCCAAGTGGCCTCAGCTGAGGCACGGGGTAATTTCCAGCTCCACAGTTCTTACTTGGAGATGTATGGGGAAATCACACAGCAGTGAAGAAGAACCCAAGCAGAATGCACCCGCTGCTTTCAACAGAAGTTTTGCCACCAGCTTCAAAATCAAAATTATTTCAGCTGCTAACAGTCAGAAGCTGCTAACATCTGATGTTGCCCACAACAAAACATCAACATTTACTACACCACTAGGACAGGAGACTAAATGATCCACAGACTGTGACAAAATTGAAAACAGGCTAATATAAAGGCTTAGTTTCCAGGTAAAATTAACATTTTTTTTAAAGTTCAAACAGCATCTTCAGCATCTCTGTGGCTTCTCTAGCGAGAAAGAAAATGAGCAATAGTCAGCAGCAAGGAGTCAAGCAAGTTATTTGCGCGTCTTCATTACCCTGGGTAATGAAGACTACAGAAGACACTGCACAAAATAAGGCAGAGTTTTCTGATCTTTGCCTGCTACCTGTGATACACCTCCTCAGCTCTTAAGAGGCAGAAGTATGTTCTAACTTGTAAAAAGTTTTCATGCAATCTCTTTGTTTTCATTTCAAGTATTGGAATTGCCATGTCTACACACATTATGTTGGCAAAACATCCACAGCTTTTAATACTGCTGACTTTACGGCCTGTACATCAAACCCTTTCTTCTTGGTTTGCATAGCTGTTTTCTTAAGCAAACATATGCTAAGTTGAAAAATAATTTTCCCCATTCTTAAAGCTCTAAAATATATTTATTCCTTTATAACGTGATCTTTTCCCTTCTACCTCTATTGATTAAAAATCTGATGTCAAGCAATAACATTAATTATTTGACTTCCACCTAAAAAAAAAGTAAAACCAGTGAAATCCCTGGCAATAGTTTCCTCACTAGTGTTTTGCTGGAAAAAATTAAAGGAAATATTCAGAGAAAAGTATCTCTGAAGCTACTGGAACCTATGTACAACACCCAGTATAGAAGGGCTGGAAAGAACAGGCAGCACACATTGGAGGCAGCCTTGTCTGGAGAGGCTGGGATTTCCAAGGCCAGCAATGAAGAGACAGCAATGTGTTGACAAAAACAGCTTATCCAGATTCAGTTTTGAGGAAATACGTGTCTCATTCTAGTTTCTATAGCCACTGAGAGCCTTCATAACCTCTCAGCTCCCAGAGGCTCTCGGGGTGATGGCACTAATGGAAGTCATCACAAGCTCCACCGTAAGCCCGCACAGGGCTGGAACACCCAACATGTTTGCAATGCTCAGGCTGTGAGATACAGGCCAACAAGTTGCACTGGGACTGCCTGTATGCAGCCAACCTCAGCGAGAAGTTTTTGACATAGATCAGGATTGGTTTCCCTCCATGGGTTACATACCTCAAGCACTAACACATCTTGCACAACACCAGGACTCACAGGCTACACTTTAAATTCCAGGCTACACTCTGGACTTGGCCTCATTCACATCAAAAATGCAGCAAATGGCTTACATGGGGCAGCAAGAGAATAAATTAACACAAAAACAATCCTGGGAAGGACCTAAAGCAGGTCACCCTGCCAGTGTGATTTGTCACCCAACACACAACTCCAGAGGGCTGCCTGTAGCATTGCACATGCCTCTCCACAGTGCTTTCCACCAGGAGACCAGATGTGGAGGATCCTCAAACACAGCTGCAGTACCCTGTCTGCCTGTTGGGGACAGAGGAGATGGACACCGCAGTCCAGGTATGCGACCCCAGCCCCAAGCATAGGTAGAGGCAGTGACACTGGTGTTGACAGTACTCAAACTGGGACCATGTGAGCGTTGGGAGAAACCTAGGGATGACTTGAAGCACATGGATTTGCAACAGGTCTTGAAGGACTGCTGCAGCAGTCTGAGATTATCTGCACATAAATATGCCCTGCCTCTGCTCCACCACCACCTCCACATGGCTGAAGCCTCACTGCTACCAGAACAGATGTGAACAATCAACATAAGCTCACCAACCCCATCCTGCCTTTGCCCACCACCTCCACCTTGATGCCCACACCTGGGGACACAACCTCCCTGCTCATACACATTATGTCAACATGCTTTAGTTAAGCTCAGCTTGCTCTGCAAGCTTTGGTGAGGGTCTCCCTGTAAAAGGAATTTTCACTCAAATACTGCATAGATTTTTTTGATTGCTCTGTACAAATGATTAATAAATCAGTTCTAAAACATTTTCTGTGGCAGGTAGATGTTACACTGCTTTAATAGTGTCCGTGATCAACAGGCTCTAACAAAGGCTTGGCCAGCAGGCTACAGCTGCTCATACGCTTATTTCTAAAGCAGTCTCTGCTTGTCCACCATTATGTTCCAAATAAACTGGCAACAGCTTTCAATCAACCTAGCCTGCACAGATGGGCAAATAGCAACCTTTTAAAACTTAAAATACTTCAAATAGAGGCTTATAAAAGCAGACAAGCAAGAGGGAGTTTTAGAGCATTTCATAGGGGAAGTAATGCATTCAGGGTAAGGTAGTATGTGTGACAGCGGGACTGCCACTTGTGCGACTGTCGCTTTAGTTCTTGTCACAGCTCTATCATTCTTAACAGGTCTTTCCCTGGGCAGTCCTGGGTATGCTGGTACTGGGTTTGGAGGCTGGAAATTTATGATAATATAAGGAAGAGTGGCAAAATTTCTATGTTCGTGGCAAGATTTTTCAAAGCTCTCTGGGATGTCCTACCTCTGTTTCTATCAACTTTTGAGTACAAAATTGTGAGCAAAAATTATTTCAGCAGAGTTATGTGAGCATAGTTAAATGAATTCTGAGCACTTCTGAGAATCTTCCTTTGGTCCTTCCTGAAATCTTAATGTGAGGAAAAACGTGGTCACGTTATTATATTCTCTTTCTATTGAACTGCTATTAGTGATTTCCACATACTATGTCTCTCCTGAAGTCAATTACTCCCCTTTTCCTCCTAGAGAAAAAAAAAAACAAACAAACCATATTTTTCATACTGTAGGGGTGTTCCATGTATGTATGTCCAGCTACCCAGCTCAGAGTGCCAGACCCAGGGGGGTGTATTCAGCCTCAGCACTCTCTGTGACTGCCCACCAACAGAGAGAAGAACCAGGGCTAAAAGCTCCAGTGGCAGAAGAGAAGGTATCTGCTTTTTTCTGGGTAGGCTGCTGATGGTAGAATCCCTGAGCACCTTTAAGTCACTGGTTCTTAAAGTTTCCTCTGGGAATCCTTCATTCAGTCCCAATACTAACCAACCTCTAGCTATACTTTTTTTCCTGAAGCACTAAATCGTTCTCCAGGGAATACAAGTGAAAGGCAGAACTATATTCAAGGACATACTAAAATGCAGCGGTACTAGATTAGCTGATGCTGAGATGCTCCCCACCTATTTCCAAACTCAGACTTCCATAATCTCATTTCATTTGCAGCCATTTAACAGGGCTGACACTCTGGAGTGCTCAACAGGGCAAATATAAAAAAGGAAAAAATGTTATTCAGCTGCCAAAATCATCTCTCTCAAAGCCAAATCAGGTTTTGTTTCCTTTGCTCCACACAAGCAGCAGGGCACTCCACATCCCATCAAAAGTTTTCTGCAGTTTGCTAAAAATATTCTCTTCCAAACAGCTACATTTCCTAAATTCTGGGCAGTAAAGAAATGCTGCCTCAACTGCAGCCTTATCTTGAGCTAGGCCAAAGCACATGTCAGACTTTGCCATCTCTGGGCAGGCTTGTCAGCGTCTGGCAAATGCACGTAATACATTGCAGTGAAAGATGCTTGCTCTCCTCCACGATAACAAGACTGACAGATGAGATTAGGCTTAATACAAGGAGATTATTAAATTGTTTTTTGACATAGAATTGGGTTGTGTACAGGTTCTTCTTCAAGGAGAAAAGAAATCATGGGTTTTATAATGGACGAGGCAACCTCAAGAAATAAATGTTTTGAAAAAATCCTAGTCTACAAACTTAGTCTCTGCACAATGCCACAATATGCCTATTTATTCACTTGGGTTGAAGTATTAGACTTCACAATGTCAGCCACTATTCAAGGAAGAATATGTTCTTATGCAGGTAATAAACGTCACCTGCCAAAACCATAAATAACATCGAAAATTACATTGACTACTCAACTAACCAGAAACACTGTACAATGTAAGCATACTGGATGAAATTCTGGGTTCATTGAAGTCAATAGTACATGACCAGGAATTCACATATTGTTCTTATTTAGGTACAGTTGTTCTGCAATGTTTATTCCAAGCAAACTTGGATTGTAAATATGTAGCAGTGCCAAGAACAGTTGAGCTGCATTGCTATCCAGATACTTACAGATATGTCATATGGGGTGCAATCTGGCCTGTTATACAACCTATTAATTAGTTCCACAACATCTCTCATACATTACTCAGTCTGGTTCTCTTTTCCCAGTTTCTGGTTTTCTAGTTGCTATTTTTTAATTGCCACATCAGGAAATACTATACATGGGTCAAGAACTGTTAGCAGGATTCCTGGTGCTTGGCAATTCCTTGAATCCTGGAACACTGCTAAGTGTGTCTCTATCGACTCTCTGAAAGCAGGAAAATTCAGTGTTAATAGCAGCCCTGAAACTTTATTTCTTCCCACTGGGGCTGGCACAACTCTTCAGAGAATCCAATGGTTACCGTGAGCAGAGCCAACACTGTCTCATACAGAGGAATAAACTGCCGTGTTGCTCAACATTGTGTCCAACCAACCTCTGTTCTTTCACCCACCTGCACATCCTCCAGCTGCCTCGCTCTGTGTTACCCACACCTGCCCTGGCTGGTGCAAGCATAGTTGGGTTAGCACTAAGGGGCTGACCTGCCACATGGGGAGAGATGTGTCTAGGGCCAGGGGAGCCACGGTCACAGTGAGTGGCAGGGAATGTGCAGATAAAGGAGGGCACTGCAGCAGTAGCATAACGATGTGGAAGAGAAGCAATGAGACAGGAGGTGGTATCACAGGGACATCACGGGACTTGGGGCAGCTCTGGAGTGAGCTGTGTGACACAAGGTATATGCAGTTCTGCACAGTATGGACATGCCTCCAGAGCATAACTCAAACTGAAAGTGGCTGAAAGCTGCTTTTGCCTTACAGCATCTCCAGGGCTCCATAGCATCTGGCAGAAACTGCTGAATCATATTAGAACAACTGATTGTTGCACATCTAGAGACATGGAGAAACTATTGTTCTTGTATAGAGCTGTCCTTCCAAAACATCTTCCTGCCTTTTTCCAGCTGGTTACATGCGTGGATTTATATACACACACACTCTCAATAATAATGATAATTTTTGACCTTTGAATTACAAATGTCTGAAATAAAACCCATTCATGTGTAATGATAGAGGCTTACCTACATCCCTGTCCCTGATACAGTAGTCTGGAGAGCTTTCAAAGTATACCAGGTCATTCTTAGTTGGCTTCTTAAATTTCTTATTAGCCACAGTGAAACCCGTGCCATCTTGATTCATGACCACCTGAATTGCTCCATTGTATTTCTTCCACAGGTAATCTCCTGTTTTCCTAAAGTCTGCCATGGCCAGCCAACAGGTCCTTAGAGTGCACGATCCGCTCACGCCGTGACATTTGCACTCCTGTTTCAAAAACCGCTTCACGGCCTGTTTAGAAATGCAGTAAAATATACACAGGTAAAACAAACTACAATTGATTGCTTCTCAGCCCTTTTCCATCCATCCTGTAATGCCAGGCCTGCGATGAGTCTCCATGTCATGGTCTGTAGTGACACCCACTGGCAGCATCAAGCACCAACTCACATGGCTGATCTGCTCTGGTTGCTTGACTCAACCTTACACACAATCCTCCAGCTGGTGGGCTTACCTTCCCACTCATCCCGAGGATCGAGATGGTCCACAGCACTAGGACACACACAGACTGGGCAGGAGGAAACGATCTGGGAAACAGGCAGAATCATTCACCCCCCTGGGAGGTGAACGCACTCCCTTTCCCCATCGTTCCAGCTGCAGCGTCGCTATGCTGGCCCTCTCTGGTTCATCTTCGCGAAGTTGCCTTTTGCCTTGAACAGTGTTTCAAACATTGTCCAGGAATCCATAGGTATCTCATATTTAAACAATTTTACTGAGGCTGTACAAAACATCGAACCTGGGCTAGGCATCAGATCTATGCAAAATTTTAAAATACAGTATCCTTAAAAGGCTTATAAACCTTTTAACAAACATTTTAGAATAAGGCCTTCATTAGTTTGCACTGGAGAAATCACCTTCATCATTAATTTAACGTCTTGATAGCATTAAAGCCACGTCAGCTTCATCGCAGATGTTTAGGCTACCTGTATGATGTTGGAGAACAACAGATGGGTTCATAGGCAATAAATAATTTATTTCTAATTCTGAAGATACGGATATTTGATGTATAAATATTATGCCTTAAGGTTCATGAAATATGAACATTTTAGCGTTTGTACAAGAGGGATGGCACCGTGGGAGGAAGGTAAGAGAGAGGAAAGTTCTATGATTAGAAGTGAGATTGATGGACAGTGGAGCAGCATTTTTCAGTCAAGCACTTGGTAATAAAGAGAGAATGTATTATAAAACCAAAGTACTTTCAATTTTCTTTCCAACTTTTAAATCATATGACTACTTCAAAGAAGTCACTGGCATTCCCACGGCCTCACTTCATTGCCAATGGTACTATCACAAATCTGGGATTTAAGCAGATACTTGGTTTTAATTATCTGAGCACAAATCAGTTTAACTACTTGTATGTTTAAAGTAACTTGCTGGAAGGGTTGGACTTGATAATCTCAGAGGTCCCTTCCAACCCGGCTGATTCTATGATTCTATGATTCTAAAAGTGGAAGAAGCATACAGGAATGCAGGTCTCTTTTTTTTGTCCATGATGTTCCTATACTGATACACATCATGTTATGTTCTATGCTTCATATGGAAATATTATAAATATTTATTCTACTTATTATTTAATTAATACAATTGGAATAGTCTAGTTTTAAATGAAACTTATTGACAACCCTTTAGGGGGCAAGAAAAAGCTGAGGGCACAGATGGTTTTACCCAGGTCCAAATGCCAGGCTTATGGGCAGCTGAGGTGGTGAGATCCCTGCAAAGCTAAACCTACACTATTGCACTTTGGACACAAAACAGCATCCCTGTCCATAAGGCAGGTCCTAGGGAATATGAGAACGTGTTTATTATTTTTAATTGAATATATTTTTTAAAATCTCTTGATCTTTTACTAAAAATCTACCTGCTTACCAGGACTTCTTTAGTATTTGGCAGCGGTATTTTTTTAAAACTTACTAAGATGCTCAACTATTACAGAAAGTAGTTCCCATCATGGAACTTATTCACCCCTAAAAATTCTTTGCTTCTGTTGTAGACTGCAGTCTCTTTTGGACAGTAACATAAACACAGCCACAGTACTGCATGTGCATATCATTGACCTAAATAACCTCATCTGTCTATATTACATATTAATTACACCTGCTGGCAATAAACAGGTGGAGGAAAGATGATGAAGGACAAATATTTATCAGGAAAATCATCTACTTGCAGTACCATTTATTAGAATTGGATCATTTCTTTTAATAAAATAATTTTACAGATTATATAAAGGGAACTTTTTAACACAAAAAGATCAGAATATGATCAATTTACTTCCTACTGAATATACCTTAGGGAAAACCAAAGGTAAGAAACAAGAAGTCTCTACAAATCATTTCAGAAGTGCTTGGTCTAGCACATTAAAACATTTTTTGGTATTATTTCAGATTTTATAGAAGCAGTAAATTTTGAACACATTTCAAATAATGAAACAATATCTATTCTTACTATTTATAGCTACCATCACAAAATGTTAGTGCACAAATTCCTCAGCCTTTGCACCAGTAGTGGGTAATACACCTGACAATTACTCCTCCTATTCACCTACAGTGTAAAAGTAAAGACTTTTTGTTGAAATTCAGGAGTGGTATTCTCATACAGTGTTTAGAAAAGGGGTTTGTTTACTGCAGGTCATGGCCCAAGGCCAAAACCTTTTGGAGGGACATGTAGTTTGGATTTGTATTCTTAGAAAGTAAAGCAATTACCGTTTCTCTCTGCTCACTTTATGATTAGGTTTACCATACACATAAAGGGACAGACATGATGGTTTTTTTCTTTAGTGTTATTTTGAATTTGCTCTTTAAAGTCAAGCCTGTTCTTCAGTGTGGTCTTCAGGAATTTCTGTTCTGTATTAATCAAAAGTAAAACTCTGCCTTATATAAGAATTAAGCTCAAAATGAAACATGCATTCAAACTTATCCTGCAATGACTTGGACTCCTGCTTAACTTCCCACATAAGGAGCCACTGAACTGACTCTGACTATTAATCAGTTGAGTTCAGTCTGTTTGAAGATCTCTGTCACACACTGAACCTCCAAGGGAGATAGAAATAGAAGCTCAGGCTCCTGCTCATCCTGTATTTCTTCCTAACTACTCAGACCAGACAGCAAGAGCTAACCATTACCCGCCCCAGACACGAGAGAGTTCTCCAAGAACATCTCTAGGCATCTATCTGTTGGATGGACACCCACCTTCCTTCCAGCTCTGTTGTTGTGAAGGTTCATCAGCGCCCTTGCATCTTTTCCTTTCCATTCTTTGGCATCCACAAAGGCTCTGGCAAATTTAATGCCATACTCAATATTATCGCTGCAGCCACCCCAGTCAAAATGGCCCTTGCTGTCCTTGGCAGAGCCTTTCTTCTTGGGATCGCAGGAGCAAGATTTCAGCTCCCCTTGGCTACATGCCCTGGTGATGGCAAAAACAACTCCAGCGGAGGAGATGGCATGCACAAAAGCAGATTCACGACTACCTGAAACAAAAAAAGTCACTTTAAAAATCATTGGTGTAGCTAGTCTGAGTGGCTGTCCAGGGAGTTAGCCTGGACTTTTTTGCAGAGCAAAAGATAAAATTAAGCTGCAAACACACAAATACACATTCCCTGGAGCCAGAATTAGTCATGGTTTAAACTAGGACCCCTCCCTGGTAAAAGCTCATCAATTTAGTGTTAGAGTTGGAAAATATTAAACATTTGCTTCTAATATTGATTAATATACTTTCATGGATCAGTTGTTCTGTACAGATACGTGAATAGGACAGCTGCTATTCCTATCATGTTTCACCAATTTAGAAAAATATATGAAGGGCTATTTGAGAGATAAGTTCAAGAAATTATTAAGTAGGGACACTAAAACAACATGTACATTGCAAAATACTGCAAGTAACTCTTGAAACTAGATTTTCCTCTCCCAAAGCATTTGGAATAGACTTTCTTGCTTAAAAGGTGGTAGGGAGAAAACTTGGGTGTTATTTCCTGAAAAAAAAGCTAAAATTAGGTTTTCTGCCTAGAACCAAGCCCATAACCATAATTGACGCAAACAAGTTCCATTAAATCAATGGCACATGCTTGTGTCATTGAGGCAGGATTTGGCCTGGCAGCTGTGACTTCTTCATGCCAGCTGCTCTGGCAGCTTTCCCTTCTCCTAACCAAGATACTTTATTATACCAAAGAAATTTCTAGATTATGCCTCCTCATAGGCTATTAGGCACATATTTCAATGTAATAATTGGTTTTAAGATATAGTACTTTACAATACAGAGTTGTATTATACTGGCACAAATCTATTTATGGTAATGGAATATTTTCCTACTTTCTGAGTTTTCTAGCATAGAAAGAGAAGTAGATTTTTGTGCAGTATCTAAGACCACTAGCAGTGAGAAAGACCTGTTTGAAGGACTTGTAAGCCTTAAATAATATTAGCACAGTAAAGTAGGACCCCAAAGACAAATGTTATCTGTTTTTTTTTATTGTAGAGGCAGCATTACACCATATAACTTATTATTTAGTATTTTGATTCCAGTAGCATCTAAATGTTTCAAACAGGAATGGGCCCTGGACTTCCCTGTGCTGTGCAAACCTTCAGCAAATGGCAACTAAAAGTTTTCAAAAGGACTGGACAAACCATGCCTTCCCTACACTGCCTTCAAAATCAGGCAGAAGATACTATGGCTTGTTACAAATCATGCTCCTTTGAAGACTTATTTCTGAGACAGGTTGTTCAGAGACATCAAAACTTTGTAAAGTGTTAGTTAAAAAATAAATTTAATTAATTTGAGTGTTAATTAAACACTTGATGTCATTGGAAGAGAAATGTTTCATTTGAGTTTACTGAAATAATCCAAACCATTTAATTATATTAAAGCACTATCAAGCTACATTTCCATGGCAATCACAGCCTGATCAGGCTCAGTGTAGAGCTCAGAAGCCTGATGTGCTGTCATTCTCTCACATAAGCCAACAGTGAAAATTTCCCTTAAGGAAAAACTACATTTTTACTTCTTTTATTAAGTAGCCTCATCAGAATTGGGCCATGTTCTGCCAAACATATTTTCCTGAATAACAGACAAACCTCACAGAAAACTTCAGCCTATGGGTGAGGTTACCAGTTACTCACAAATAATTGCTAAGGGAACACGAAGCTGGTTACAGGAACCAACTGCTCACCAGCAGCAGAATCTGGCACCGAATGATGTTCTGTGGATGAAATCCCACTGCTTGGACCAGCATGCCCAGTGTCTCCCACCCTCCTCTCTATCGCCACCAGTGGGGCAATGGTCCCCCGGGGACTTTCCTCTTCCCCTTCTTGCAGGCACCATGCTGCTCACGGCCTGGAGAGGCTGTCTTGAATGGTGCTGGGGACATCCCAGGGACTCAAGTGCCAGTTCAGAGTCAGCCCCACTGGCTGTGCACCACAGCTGGGTGCCCAGGTGATGCCTCAGCCCAACATTTAGATGACACCACCACCCTGCTTAACCATCCTCCCTCAGGGTGGGATGCACGCTGTAGTCCTAAGGGGCTTGAGGTCTGCACAAGCCTGGCTCACCCCCATCAGATGTGTGTCCCCTGCTTCTCTCTCCCCCGAGCTTGACCTGGGGGACTGGCTGTCGCAGCCCCTGCAGAGGTCAGGGAGCCTGGAGGGCTGTGTTGCCCCGGCATGGCCGCAGATCCCAGCCTCACAAGCAGCACAGCCCTGGGGGGATTGTACCCTGCTGCTGTGCTTTCCAGGCAAAGTGCTCCAGCGGGAACCGGCGTGCAGGAGTTGTCTGCCATCCCAACGCACCGGGCTCCTGTTCACACATGAGCTGCCCCTTTCAGCCCGCCCCACCCCGAATACCGATATCCCGAGGTTGGGCTGTGATGGAAAATTCTCTGTCCTGCTTCACTATTCTGCCGCCTCGGTTTCCCCGTAGCCCTTAATTTGTGGGTCCATTATGCACCAAAAAAAAGTTGGGAACTGCATAGCCATCCCTTAACGTGTCAAAGCCCTCCACCCCCTTGTCTTTCTTATTTGATACACGTTTTTAAGCAATGCAGCACTTCGCATCATCATATATGCCGTTCTTTCGAGACCCTAGAATTACTTTGCATTTCCCCTTCCCTTCCTCCTGAAGTGTAAAGCGAAGCTTCATTCTTGCTAAGAACCAGGATAACAGGGAGATGGCCACTGCTTCCCGTTGTTCCCCACCACTGCCCGGGCGGTGCCAGCCCACAAGACCCCTGGTACCCCTGTGTGGAACCCTTGTACCCTCACGCCGACCCTCTAAACCCCCGTTTACTCTCAGGCCGTAGGCGCGGGGGCTCCGCGCCCCGCCTGGGCCCGCGGGAAGCCCCTCCCGGCCTCCGGCCCCGGGACTCACTGCGCAGCAGGACTCGGCCGAGGAGGCGCTGCCCCCGCTCCAGGGCGTTGCAGTCCCAGCGGTGCCGGCGGAACTGGTGCTGGCACTCGGCCGTCCAGGCGGCCACGCCGCGGCCGATGGAGAGCATGGCCTCGGGGTGCCGCCGGCACAGCTGCCGCTGCCGGCTCACCAGCCCCGGCACGTTGTCGCACATCACTCGCGACGAGCCCACGGCGCCCATGTACCTGCGGGAGGGAAGGGGCAGGGCAGCGGCGGGGGCCCGCGGCGACCCCCGGGCACCGACTCCAGGGGAAGGAGGGTCCTCAGTGCCCTGGAACCTTCCTCAGGTGGGTCCAGAGCTACAGCTACCTCTGCCTTTTTGGTGGAAATCCTTTACCATTAGTCACCGATGCTGTGCTTTTTAATAACGTGAAGCATTCAGGAGAACCCCAAGCCCCGCTATTGCAGCTCCGTGCAGTACTCAAAAAAAAAAAAAAAAAAACCTTGACAAAAATTAAATTACATCATCTGTATCCAGATGGTCTCTATTAGTCCTGAAACGTTTCGAAAAGTACCTTTCATAAAACCCAAACTTCTGTAGGTGTCTTTTGAAGGGATCAAACAGACGAAAATGTCCTTTTCTTGTATTTTCATTATTTTATACGACCATAAAATCGTTAAAGCCGTGACTTCCAAAAATATATATATTTAAGTGGCAGTTAGAAGACACCATGACAAAAAGCCATCGCAATAAATAACATTTATACGGCTAAGGACACAGATAGTCATTTTATTGAAACATACTCAGTCTGATAAATCAGGCTTTGATCCCGTGTCAGCTGGTGTCAAGGTTAAATGTGTTCCCTAGGTTTACAAGAAGGCTTTAACTCCTCTCCTATACTAAGACTTTTCAGGCTGGCCTTGGTTGGGGTCCCCAGTTTGAGGAGCAGTGTGTGTTTTCATTCAAACCCGTTTTGCAGCAAGCTACCGACATCAACTATCACTTCAAGCTGGGCCCGGGGCTGCCCGCAGGGCTCTCAGCCCTATGCCCTTGCAGTTTAGTGAGGGGAAACTGTGCAGGAGGGAGGGGCTGAGGAGGGCGAGGAAAAAAGAAAAAATAAATTAATAATAAAAAAATAGCGCTGCTGTAGCCAATTCCCAGCGCCGCCGGGGCGCGGAGGGCTGGCTGCCAGGAGCAGTGCTTCACCCGCGCCCCTCGGGCGTGTTCCCCGCCCGCCTCCCTGCCTTCCTCCCGCTCCCTCGGCGGCCCCGCAGCCCGGGCGGTGCCCGCTGCCCCCGCCGGGTCCTCCTCCACCCGCAGCCCTGTCGAAAGCCCCGTGCAGCCCCCGCTGCTGCGTTGTGCTTATGCGGAGGAGGAGGCCGAGGTGCGTGGACGGGGTGTGGAAGCAGATGCCGGGACCGTCTAATCCCGCTCTCTTTAAGGCTGGACTTTCTGGACCGGAGCAGCTGGCAGCAGTGAGCTCCGCTTGTGAGAGCCTGAGAGGGAGAGGCTTCCCTCTTCCCCCCCCCCCCTCCCCCCCCAGTTCACAATTAATCCGACCCCACCTTCCCCAGGAGCAAATAAAAATTCCTGGAATTGCACAACTTACCACCATGAAGAGGTGACTGGTGGGGTCGCCCAGATCAAGACCAAAGGAAGAGACCACCAGATCCCAGGGAGAAAGTTCATGTTAGAAACGCTTCGGTCCACATCAGGTCAGTCGCGGGGGACAGAAGAAATCCCATGGAGCAACAATTATGAGCAGGGGCAAATGCACCTCGAAGGCTAGTTCTTTCCCGTGGGTCAAGCGCCTTCGCATCCCCATGCGCTGCCCCTGGCCTTACCGATCCCCGCCCGGGGTACGGGGGATGCCGGTCCGTGCATCGCTCTGGATTCCTCTCGGTTCGCCCTGCACCAAATCCTTCAGGACATGGAGTTCAGCCCCGCTCTCATCCTTCATCTTTGCCCCGATCCAGCTCTTCCCTGCAGTCACGGCAAAACTGAGGGGCTGGTGTGGGCTGCTCTCGGACTGGGTGGGTTCTGCTTTGGTTGGTGTTTTTTTTTTTCCTCTGAAAGTCTGATGGATGAAATGATGTCAAGAGACACTGGGGGAAGAGGAGGAGGTAACACCTCTGATTAGGCAAGGAATCCCGAGGAGCCAGTTGCTTTCCAATAACATTAAGAGCAGACAGTGAGTTCAAACCCGTCAGCAGATGCTACACGACCTGCTGCCGAGCCGCCGCCGGCCCCGGCCGGCTGTTACAGACCGGCAGCGCTTGGCACCTCTCGGGGTTCGGCACGACGGCACTTCGGGCTCGGTACGAGCGCTTGCGAACATCGAGCAAAGAACGGAACCGCGACGCGATGCGAGGGGAGAAGCGGAAAACCAGAGCAGCCCCGGTGCAGGGTGTGACACCGCCCGGCCGCCTCCCCTCACCCCGGGCCCCGCACAGCCGGGCCGGCTCCTCCACGGGCACCGGCTCCGCCCCGGGCCTCCCTGCCTACTCTCGCACCGCGGGGACCCCCCAGCCCGTGGGCTCCGACGGGGGGATGGGCTGCGCGCCCCATCGCGGCGCCTGAAGCCCGGGACGAGGGCACCTGCTGTCGCCGCAGCGCTTCCCCGCTCCGAGCTGCCACCCACCGCCCCTGCCCGGGAGCGGGACGAGGCGACGGGGCTGGAAGCAAACTCAACAACAAGGGATTTAAGAACTTTTTCACCTCGTGTCATCTCTGTAAGGCAAATACAGGGCAACAAATATTCCAGACAACGAACTATCATTACCAAGCTGGAGATGCTCCAGTTCTGAGACAGCCCTCGCTGGCTGAAACAAAGACAAACGCCGAAGGTTGCTAAGAGAGTTGGGGACTACACAGCTCTAGTTCCTAAAAGATGAGTTCAGTTATCAACTCCAAGTGAAAATCCCAGAAAAGCAAGCTAGGAAGCATCCTTTGCGAGCTGTTCTTCAGGCAGCATATTACAGCCATGGCTGCGTGCAGAGGAGACATCAGTCTGCTCTGTTCCTTGGTACAACTTCTCGAGATCAGACACAGAACTAGATGCAAGCACATTCCCTTTCAGAAAGAAAAAGGCAGAATTATATCAACTTTCGAGGTGGTAACATTCACCCACTTATCAATTTAAAGAAATACCCCAAAACCCAAACAACTCCCAGAAATCAATACCCAACACCCACCTACACACAATGTCAAAAGCTGCAAAGACTTCGAAGTAAGAGCAATTGAAGCTTGGAGCACATGAATGCTTCTCCAGCAGTAGTACTTGCCCAGAGGCAACCACAGCTCCTACTAAGTCCTAAAAGCAACAGATGGGCACTCAGTATCTATTTGATAAAGTATCACCAGTGTATAAACACATTCCAATTTTTAGCTGCTGGCCAACTTATTTCTTAAGTTTACGATATACCTTGGATCAATTACCAGGGCACAGAAACGCCAGTGAGAGGACAGCAAATTCCAGCAGTATTTTAGATCCCTGCAAGCAGAGGCTACAGTCCTCAGTGCTACCAGCCTTCTCAGGCTTGCAGTAAAAAGGTGACCTATTAGAATTTCTGAGATACCCTTCTGTACTAACTGGAGCTCCTTTACCTGTAACAACTGCACCAGCAACTCATCAATGATGTCCTTTTCTTCTCCATAACCCATCTACCACATCTGCATTCCAGCTTTATTGCTGTTCAGATTCCTTCTCCAAGCTCTATTTTGTGCTGGTCCTACACAAATTCACCTTGGATCCATTATTTTTATCAACCACTCTTTCATTATACACGGCAGAACAGGCAAGGTTGGAAGGAGGACTGGGGAACCATATTTGGTTTTCATGGCCAGATTTAGGTAGTAGGGACATTACAGGGGTGGTTTCTGTGAGAAAATGCCAGAAGCTTCCCATAGGTCTGACAGAGCCAATGCCAGCCGGCTCTAAGACAGACCTGCCACTGGCCAAGGCCAAGCCTATCAGTGATGGTGGCAACACCTCTGGGATAATTATTTAGTAATGGGGAAAAAACCTCTATGTAACAGCAATTGCAGCCAAACAGAGAGTTAGACTATGTGAGAGGAATAGCTGGGCAGACACCCAGGTCAGTGAAAAACAAGGGGGAGGAGGTGCTCCAGCTGTCGGAGCAGAGATTCCCATGCAGACCATGGTGCAGACAATGGTGAGGCAGCTGTGCCCCCGCAGCTCAGAAAGGTCCGTGGTGGAGCAGAGATACACCTGCAGCCCATGGAGGACCCTACACCAGGGCAGGTGGATACTTGAAGAATGTTGTGACCCAATGAGAAGTCCACGCTGGAGCAGGCTCATGGCAGGACTTGTGACCCTGTGGGAGACCCACACTGAAACAGTCTGTTCCTGAAGGACTGCGCCCCATGGGAGGAGACCAGGCTGGAGCAGCTTGTGAAGAACTGCAGCCTGTGAGAAGGGCTCATGTTGAAGAAGTTCGTGGAGGACTGTCTCAGGTGAGGGTTTGCTGGTTCCTGACACAGCCCTGGAGAGGCTGCTGGCCTCCCTTACTGCAAGCACAGACTGGATCTAGAAAGCTGTGCCTTCAACAAGTATTATGTGCACACAGTTTCTCATCCAGTTAAGAAATCATGCCATACAAGTGCAACACGGGTGACAGCAGAGTAGCCAGAACACTGAAAGCCCAATTCTCTGCATACCTTATGAAATCAAGCTGAGATTTTTCAATACAATAGTGAAAATAATGTAGCTAAACCTGTATTTCTACATTCAAATAAAGACTGTTTTCAGGAAAGCTGAAGGCATGGAAGGCTCGTCTGAGAAAAATTAGTAAGAAAAACCCCTACTAAACTCTTAAGTAGAATACATCTTCCCATATATATCACTGCCAGTAGCACAGTTTAAAAGAACTGAAAATCCTTACCCAGAGGGATCCCTGGTAAGTCCCACTTCCAGGGACTACGGCTCTATATTATATGAAACCACCATTTGAATCAGGATAAATATTTGAAGTAATTTAACTGCTATTAAATCTGTTAAGGATACACATCACATTATTAATTTATGTCAGTAATACCCCTTTTCATATCTCACTGCTTATCAATTCAGAGCCCCGTTACCTGGAAATTCCTGTTTCTAGAATAGGGAAATATAAGTTTTCATATATACACTTCCATCATGCCTCCAGAAAAAAGAAATGACAGTACATGCCTTTAAAGGCAGAAGCCTGCAGTTATGATACCTGTTAGACCTTCATGGCTTCTTATTGGTACATAAAGATCCAAAGCAACATTTGTAGTACTTTACTATTAACACAGCAGCTTTATTTGGGAAAGACAACCTGTAGCTTTTGCAGAACTGCTGGAACAGAGAAGGCAAATGTAAGCAAACACCTATTCACACTTATGAGCAAGTGACAGCTTTGGGGAACACCTGAAGTGATTCAAAGATGACAAGACGAAAAATAATAAACTGCACATTTTTAGTCTTGTCCTCAACAAAGCACTTGGATGAAATAAAAGAAGAAAAACAAAACACGTGCTTAAGTAAATGGAGAATGTGGTTAAAAAAAAAAAATCACTCTTTCTCAATTTAAGAATTACACATACCCCAAACTACTCTTTATTACTTGCAATTGGTAGCCAACAGGAATAACTGGGCAATGCCTTTTGACAGGTTATGTACTCCACAAGTCAAATTTAAAGAACGGGGCAAAAGCATAGGAAGAGAGACACAACACACACAAATCGCAGTGTCTTGGACAGGAAAATTAGAAAAAAAAAACTCTTTAGGTTCTTTCAGATCTTCACAGGATGACCCAAGGCCCTCATTTTACATAACAGTTTAAAGATTCAGAAAAGACCATTGTATAAATAGTCATCCGTATCCAGACAAGTTAGGTATCCAATGGCATTGCAAGTAGGAACCTCGCTGCATCTTCATCCTAGGTATCCACAGGATTTGGCCCCAGGTCCAATTCACTCAATCCTCCACACCTCAATTTGCACTACTGTAAGAGGAGAACAATACCAGCAGGGCTGCGCATCTTACTTGCTTAATACATGCAAAGCTCTTTAGCATTCTCCTCCAATCCCCTCATAGATGTGCAAATCATTGTATTCTTACTGTTCTGGGATAATGACTTCAATTTGATGACTTACAGAAGGAGGTGTCTCAGCAGGGGCATTTTCATCTGAAGGCTCCCTCAGTGCTGGTGGGGGTGAGAATTTTAACAGTGTAGCTCAGGGGCCAGATGTTGAAGGAATCTTTTTCTTTGCTCCCTGCCCTATCTCCACCATATTGCGATACCTTGTCAGAGAATTTGAAAGAGGCACTGCAACAACATGAAAGTGAATAAAGGATCTTGAAACTCATTGTTTTAAGCCCGAGTTTGGAATCCAAGGAAGTAAATACAATTTTAATCTTTTTTTATTACATGCTAGGTCAAAATAATCTTTGCTCATTTAGCTCTTAGCACGTCCTCTTCATGCAACGCAGTTCCTGATTGACCAATTAACAAATACAACTTAAAGTGGTTACTCCAAGACCCTACTTCTTGTGAGTGGTTTATGACATTTTGAACACTATTCTTCAACAGTGCACAATGCCAGGAATGCTGCTGGCACAAAGCCTATGTTTAACCCAAATGATGTTCACATGTGTGTTTGCAGTCATGGCTATAAGCATCTGAAACAGGTGATCCGTAAGA